GGTACTCTTAACAGTTGCATTTGTAACACGGTTTTTTTTTTCCAAGTAGCCCCTCTCGATCGACGAGAGGTTTCCGATTACGAGAGAAAACGAGAAACGTATCGCGACCACTCGACAGCAGCAGCAGCAGTTTGCTATCAGTTTGCTGGAGCGTGAGACGACACGGAACGTCAACGTAGAAAGTTTTTCGAGCGTGTGGGAGTGTCGCGCTTCCAGCTTGCGTTTCTCGATCGTCCAATTCGACGGATCGTTCACGCGACTGTCAGAAAACCGGTGGTGAAGGCTCGCCTCGACACGGATCGTTTGGAAAGTTCGAAGAAAGGAAAGGAAATGTCGATGCGTTGGAAGACCGAGAATCGTCGTTCCTTCCAATTCTCGGCTCCTGCCAATTTTTCGCCAGACGGACGCATTACTCTCAATCTCTCGAGTTCCGCCGCGAGCTTCCGGTGTCGCGTGTGCACGGTCTTTCGTCTTCAGTTGCTCCAGGAGGACGTTATTTTCCACTTTACAAAGTGAATAACGCGTTCAGGGGCCGCCGAACCGTTTCCTATTGACACGCGCGCGACCGCGTGACCACGTTACCGCGTCGTACCAGTTTACGCCCTGCATTCATATACCTCGTCTGTACCTGCATCGAGGTCGTACCATCGTTCTCGTCGTCATCTAAGAAGAAAAAGAAGAAGAAACGCGATCGTTCGTTCGAAACATCTCAATGTGTTAGTCAAAGTTGGACATCGAGAGACCTCTTTCTTCGAGAAATTACCGACGCGTTACCGACCGAGCTTGTTGTTCGATCGACGATCGGTCACTGCTCGGCTGTTCCCAGCTTGTCCGCTCGTCGGTAACAAAGACAACTGTTTGACGCCAGTTTTCTATTATGATTACGCAATTGCGCAACGACGATTCGATCAAGCGTTGTAAACGTTTGAAACTTGAAAGCATTGATGGAAAAAAGCGACGGTGGGAATCTCTCTCTCTCTCTCTCTCTCTCGTTCGATTTTCGTCTCGCGCCAAGATGGCGGGCAATCGCAGAAAATACGAGACGAAAGAGTGGCCAAGCCACTGCCACGTGTGTCTCCGTACCGTGACAGAACGATTCTTGGCACGCGAGATCCGCGATTCTATCAATAGACCGCCGATCGTTTGTCTTTTATTTTTACACGCGACGGCGCGGCCGATGCGAAGTTTCGAACGTTACGCACTCTCTCTGTTTCTCTCTTGCGCGCGCGTAAATTCGCGTCACGATTCTCGAGAATCGGTTTATCAAAGATCATCATCTGTGACGATGCGTTTCCGCGAGTCTCGAATTGACTCGAACACGATGAAACGCCAAATCGATCGACGAGCTTGCGGTCAGCAAGTTGCGTCATGCCTGTAATTTGTTCCATCAAACGGAATAAAGTGGCGACCTTGGCGCATTAATCGTCCAACTCGTCGGAAAAATTCGTCGCTCTACTCTCGTCAGGCAGGATCCTCGACTATTGTAATGTGCAACGTGTGATTACGCCACTGTAGCACACGCGCCAGTGTGGCGAGCAAAGAGATAAAGCGTTCTCAAAGGTTGCGCGAGTATCGGCAATGATAAGCGATCCGATTACATCGTTCGGATGACTGTGCGCAACGTAATTCCGCCCCGTTACGTAAACTGTAATTACGCGCGGCGAAAAATCGAGTCGAAAAATCGAGAAGGCGATGGGTGGATCGTCGACGGTACGAACGCCGGGTACGAGTTCGGAAGGAGAAAACTCGTGATTTTCGCGCGCGAACCTCTCATTGGCGGAATCGCGGCGAGAACGCCAGATGGCGCGGCCGCGTCCAATCGGAGGCGCGGATTGGCAGGAATTGGCGAGGCTCGGCCGGCGATTGGTCGAGTGGTCTCGGTTCGCTCGGACGATCCGTTTCGTCAGAGCGCAGACCCCCGGCGATTCCCGGCTTTGCGCCCAACCGACTGCCACGAGGGAGAAAAAGAGAAAGAAGCAGGTGCGTGCTCGCTTCCGATCACGGGATCGTTGTTAATCATCGTTATCGGTCTACGAAACCGTCAACCGATTCATACTCGTAGCCAGCGATCAGAGCCCGATATTATTGGCGCAGACAGTGAGTGAGTGGTCGATCGTGGCCGAATA